TTGGTTGCTAAAATGCAGCGAGGAGACATGGTCACACTCCTTTCCTCCATTTTCCAACTGGACTTGTACATGTCCTTTTGGAAATCCTGCTTTTTAAGGATTTAAGGAATCCTTTTTCCCCCTTTACTGAGCTGGCATTTGGGAGGAGGGTGGGAAGGAGGCCTGCTTGTGTTGCAGGCCCAGAAGCTGATGGAGATGGTAGGAGTTGGCCCTTGCAGCGAGGAGACATGGTCACACTCCTTTCCTCCATTTTCCAACTGGACTTGTACATGTCCTTTTGGAAATCCTGCTTTTTAAGGATTTAAGGAATCCTTTTTCCCCCTTTACTGAGCTGGCATTTGGGAGGAGGGTGGGAAGGAGGCCTGCTTGTGTTGCAGGCCCAGAAGCTGATGGAGATGGTAGGAGTTGGCCCTTGTTCACAGTGTGGATTCTGAACCTCCACAAATCCTGTCGCAAAGGCAGTGGATCCTCTGTCTTGAAGCATCCTGGGAATTAATTTTTTTTCCTTTCTGTGACCTGGAAATAGTAGCTGATGAAATAGCTCTCCAGCTTGCCAGTGATCTTGAGTGCAGTATATTTGCCTGACATAGTATCTGTATTTTCTTTTGCTTTGTTTTGTTCTCTGTAGGTCACACTGTTGTATGTGAGTGTCAGCCCCTGCTGGTACTTTTGCTTAACCCTTCTTGCCGTGGGTTCAGCAAATAAGCTTATGCTGATGTACCTCAGAGACAAGATGTTTTCCTATTTTAAAACGTCTGCATGAGGAAACTGGATATGTTTGGGGCTGATTACAGCTTTCTGCAATCAGAGGTCTAACATTTCACATTCTAATTTTTGCTTTTTGTTGGTTTTGGCTTTCTTCTAGGCTATGGAGAGCTAAATGGTAACGCAGGAGAAAGAGAAGTGTCACTAAAGGGCCTGTGCTCTGATGAAGCCACCACCCCAGGATCCAGGGTACCCAATGGCAGCCAGCAGCTCACAGATGCTAATGTCACCCCAAAGCAGACCGTGAAGGCCAGTGCTTTGGGTAAGGCTGGAATCAAACCCAAGAACTTCATTCAGAAAAATAGCATGGACAAAAAGAATGACAAGTCCTATGAGAATAAACTTAGAGAAAGCCAATCCTCAGACAAGCCAGAGGGAGTGTCTATTCCAAATGGTGTAGTAACCAACAATTCCAGCTACATCACAAATGGCTACATAGGCAAAGGGGCCGACAACGATGGTAGCGGCTCTGAGAGTGGATATACTACGCCGAAGAAACGGAAAGGCAGGCGCAACAGTGCCAAGGGTTGTGAGAACTTGAATCTAGTGCAGGACAAAATAATGCAGCAGGAGGTCAGTGCACCAACCTTGAAACAGGAACTTGAGAGTTTCAAGCCTGAATATAGTGAACAAAAGGGGAACCGAATTGAAAATACTAAGCCTGTTTGGAAATACGAGGCTGGGGCTGGCGGAGCAGGGCGGGGAAAGCCTGGGATTGGGGATGTACCGCGGAAAAACTCGGATGCCAAACCTGGGATTAGCAGCAAGAAGTTTGATGACCGGCCCAAAGGGAAGCACGCGTCGTCAGCTGCATCTAAAGAGGACTCATGGACCTTGTTTAAACCACCCCCAGTTTTTCCAGTGGACAATAGCAGTGCTAAAATTGTTCCCAAAATTAGTTATGCAAGTAAAGTTAAAGAAAACCTCAACAAAGCAGCTCAGACCCCATCCACGTCGTCTTCGTCATCTTCGTCATCTGCTGGGGAAACTCAGGCCCAGACATCAAGTCGACTGTCCCAAGTCCCCATGTCTGCTATGAAATCTGTCACTTCTGCCAGCTTCTCCAACGGGCCCATCCTGGCGGGCACCGATGGAAGTGTGTATTCCCCAGGGACCCAGCCACTGCTCTCAGCTGCTGCTAGTACTGTACCATCGACCTCCTCCGAGTCAGCGCCCCAGGACATGAGTACACCTTCGACAGCCCTCGAACAAAAGAAGTCTGGCCTTTTTATCTACCCTTCAAATATGCAAACTGTGCTTCTGGGGGCAACTCAAGTCGATTTCCCTTCCCAGACCAATCAGCAGAACCTGGGGGATATCTTCCAGAATCAGTGGGGCTTGTCTTTCATAAACGAGCCCAGTGCTGGACCTGAAACTGTTGTGGGGAAATCTGCGGATAATCAGTTAATGGAAGTGACATTTCAAGGGGAATATCCTGCCACTTTGGTTTCACAGTGTGCTGAAATCATTCCCTCAGGAACTGAACAACCTGTGTTTCCTAAGGCTTATGAGCTGGATAAACGGACTAGCCCTCAAATTCTTAGTGCTATTCTTAAGCCTGGGACTGCTGTTGAGGGTGGTGTCTTAGCTTTGGAGTCACATCACACAGGTGACCTACAAAAGGCAGACACTGGTAGCCAAGGTGCTTTAGTGTTTCTTTCAAAAGACTATGAAGTAGAGAATCCTCTGGCCTCTCCTACGAACAATTTGCTAGCCTCCGCCAAAGAACAGAGGTACCAGAGAGGCCTAGAAAGGAAAGATAGCTGGGGTTCTTTTGACCTGAGGGCTGCTATTCTATATCACACTAAAGGTAATGGCTTAACTTGCTGCCTAAGGGCATTCTCTTCTCTTTTTTTTTTTATTTTAATTTTTTAAGTGCAGTATTCTAACATGATGTGTTCCTTCCAGCAATTCTGATTGTTTTTAAAATGGCCTTTTTATTTTTTATTTTTTTTTGTTGTTGCCTGCCTATCTCTCATGGCAATAACGGTTTGGGCAAGTTACTCAAATGGTTGTTTAATTAATGTTAAGAGGTATTAGTTTCCCTGTTCCTGTGGACAAGCATGAGTGATGTTGAAGGGCTGATACTTAGCAGGTCCTCCTAAGCTTCTTGGCATTGGAAGGAGTTAAATGTGTAGATTCACCTGCTGTGTTCCAACTTTACCAGGTGATGTTCTGTCACTGAAAAGGCGTCATAGACTGTACTCACACCTCTACCACCGAAGTGTTGCAGCTTCTCCCCTGGGCAGATCAGACCATGAAATCATGGCTTTGAAGGAAGAAAAAATTATTCCTATGGCCATAGGTGTGATTTGGTTTTTTAAGCGTACCCCACACACACTTTTCCCTTGCCCTTCTTGAGTATTATGGCAACAGCAAGACCAATCTTTTCTTATCAGCTCCTCTGTAAGCTGCAGATTGAATTCTCTCCTTGTCTTTGTAGGCCACATCTTTCAGATGATTTTATTGCTTTCATGGAGTCCTTTGTAGTCCAGCTCCTTTTTTGCCTGGTTTTTTGAGATTGAAATGACTCAAGCATGATACAGACATTTTAAAATGGGAACAAAGAGAGGGAAGCCTGTGGGATGGCTTGCTTTCTGCTTTAGCCTCAGCTCCAGAAGCTCTGAGGTATTATGGCAGTTCTTGGCTTTTGGTGCTGGCTCAATGTTACCAGGAGCCTGGTTGCCTGTTCCCTTTTGGCACAGTGTTACTCACCCACCCTTGACCAACACAGACAGTTCTTTTATTATTCAACCCCCTTCTCTCCCTGCATCCCTCTGCTCTGAAGGGAACAAGGTGCTAAGCCATTTTTGTTTGCTATTCCACATGCATACATGGATAGTGTCTTGCTCCCCCCTGCAGAAGGTTGATATTTTGTTGGCTTTGGCAAATTTCCTGTGCTTTGACCCACTGCAAAGTTCTTAAATTACTGGTTCACAAACTCTGTATGGCATAAACTCAGATACCTTCCTTTAGTAACTGCAAGCCCAGTCATTTAAAAATAATAACTCCAAATATTCTTTCCAGGTCATCTCCCTCTCACGATGGTAACATTTCAAGCTGTAGTATTCTTGAGAACAGCAGTTCATCAATTGATTTTATCTGGGTCCTCCACCCTCTGCTCGTGCATTTTAGCAGGTTTTCTGTTCTCATTTCTTGTGTCTGCCTGCAGCCTAAATCCTACTTGCCCATCAGAAAATGGGGGTACTGGAAAGCATAGCATGGAGGGAAGCCCTAGATCCTCTTTTTCTGAAGTTTGCAAATATTCCCT